TTATTGCATAGATACTATGCAGCAAGCGTTGCAGCAGCTTTTTGTATGTAACAAAAGTTACGTAATGTTCGTTACGTAAAGAGAAGACGACGTTTTTTTCAGTTTTTTTTTCAGTTTTTCGTGAATTTATCGGCAACTTTTTATGTAACAAAAGTTCGTTACGTAACAGAGAAAAGACGTTTTTTGCGATTTTTTTTTTCAGTTTTTCGTGAATTTCTCGACAACCCTTTTTATGTAACAAAAGTTACGTTATGTTCGTTACGTAACAGAGACACGACGTTTCTTTTTCAGTCTTTCTAGTTTTTCGTGAATTTCTCGCCAACNTTTTATGTAACAAAAGTTATATAATATTAACAGAGAAACGACGTTTTTTTCGATTTTTTTTAGTTTTTCGTGAATTTCTCAACAACCCCTTAAGATAATTACATCATCGACCACCCATATGAAAGCTGAATATCTCACCTTTCCAATGAGCCTACTGGCATCTTCGTAGTTTCGCCGATTCGCCTGCTATGAGCCTTAGAAATTGGAAAAAATGTGAATAGGATTTACCAAAAAGATGGATTTTCGTTAATAACTCGAAAACTAATGCACTCTTTTATGATTTTATTGCATAGTCACATGCACGCAAGCGTTGCACAGTTTTGTATGTAACAAAAGTTACGTAATGTTCGTTACGCAATAGAGAAGCGACGTTTCGTGATTTTCTTAAATTAGTTGTATTTTTTTATTTCAAGAACCTGAAGAATCAAATCATGACAACGAATCTCTGGGTGGAACAGGTAATATTGAATTGTGAAAAAACGTAATTGGAGGTAATCAAATATTTTCGTTGATATTGTTATGCAGTCGTGGTACGACTACAAGTTGAAATGGGATCCGAAGGAGTACGGCGGAGTCGAGATGCTGCATGTCCCATCAGACCACATCTGGCGTCCAGACATCGTCCTCTACAACAAGTAAAGTTTTTTTATTCACAAGCCCACCAATAAGTGGGCAGCGGTAGAGGCGCAATAAAAGACTTTGCTTTCTGTTTGCCCTATGGTGGACTTTGTAGCGCCGACGGAAACTTTGAGGTGACACTGGCGACGAAGGCGACTCTCAACTATACCGGACGTGTCGAGTGGAAGCCCCCGGCCATATACAAGTCCTCCTGCGAAATCGACGTCGAGTATTTCCCCTTTGACGAGCAGACGTGCGTCATGAAGTTCGGTTCGTGGACGTACGATGGATTCCAGGTGGACTTACGGCACGTAGACGAGGTCAAAGGTTCGAACATCGTCGACATCGGCGTCGATCTGACCGAATTCTACACCTCCGTCGAATGGGACATCCTCGAAGTGCCAGCCGTGAGGCACGCTCGAATACAACCAACTTTCATCTATCCATCATTACTGACTAACACCATTCGTTTTTTAGGAACGAAAAGTTCTACACGTGTTGTGACGAGCCTTACCTGGACATCACTTTCAACATCACGATGCGTCGCAAGACCCTCTTCTATACCGTCAACCTCATCATACCTTGCATGGGCATCTCATTCCTTACCGTACTTGTGTTCTACTTGCCATCGGACAGCGGAGAAAAGGTATCAGTCTTAATAACTGCAAATTCTTAAGCCCAGATCTCAAGATTTCCTTCTTCTCCAGGTTAGCCTGTCAATCTCCATTCTGCTGTCTCTGACGGTGTTCTTCCTTTTGCTTGCCGAGATCATTCCACCAACTTCGCTCGTTGTGCCACTACTGGGAAAGTTCGTTCTTTTCACCATGATTTTGGACACCTTCAGGTAATTTCGTGTTCCGTCCATATTTGAAAGTCAAAGCAAAAAAAAACAAACTACATATCTTTTGTGCAGCATTTGCGTGACCGTTGTCGTGCTGAACGTCCACTTCCGGTCGCCGCAGACGCACGTGATGGCGCCTTGGGTGCGCCGGGTCTTTATCCACATCCTGCCCAGATTGTTGGTGATGCGCAGACCTCACTACCAGCTGGACAGAAGGAGGTAATAATGTCGATCACGATCAAATTAGCAAGTAGTAGAGAGACGCCCTAACGTACGCCTCCAGATTAACGCAATCGAGTCTCAGGGTTATGGTGAGGACGTGCAACGGCCTCGAACTTCGAGATCAGGACGTCTACCACGACCTCAGCGAGGACGCCTCCGGTCTGTTCCCAAGCGCCAGCTCCAGGGACGAACTGACGCCCAGGTACGGACATGCTGCTTCCTCTGGACGCACATTAACTAACGTGTTTTGTTACGCTTCAGGGAGTTGGAACCGGGAGCGTTGAATGCGTGCCGCATCCACGGAGCGACTCCACCGCCTCCCGTCTGCTTGGGCGCAGTCTTGGGACACGACTGCTTGGAGGAAGCTCTTTGCGCTGCCGAAGCCACCCATCCTTGGCACCAATGCCCAGAAGTTCACAAGGCTATCGACGGCGTCCGCTTCATAGCGGACCACACGAGAAGAGAGGAAGATTCCACCAGGGTAACATCGCATTTTTTTAAAATAATATTTAGTAGTTACAATCTGAAACTTAATGAATGTTCTTTGTACGGCTGCAGGTGAAGGAGGATTGGAAGTACGTCGCTATGGTTCTGGACAGACTGTTCCTGTGGATCTTCACTCTCGCAGTCCTCGTTGGGACAGCAGGAATAATCCTCCAAGCTCCTACCTTGTACGATGATCGCATCCCGATCGACGTACGTCTCAGCGAGATCGCCTCGACCACGGCCAAACCTCACATCGCATCCACACTTTAAGAGATCAAGAGTGTTTGTCTGTCTGCTGACGAAGAATACAACCGGAAAGAAGACAAAATAGGAATTGATTTTTACAAAACAAAACTGAATTTATCATATATATATATTACACTTAGCAACGCGGCGCGAATATTACGATATGATGACCAGAGAAGAAACAAACACATTAGACACGTCATTGCTTGTTTTCAATTTTTCGTTCGGATCGTTGATGTTTTTTTTTTGCACAAAATTTTATTATAAACAGAAGAAATGATTCGGATACTTACTGAACATTCGTAATACGGAAGCACCTCGACTTTTAACAACAAAAAAAAACAACAAAAAATATGTTTAAAGACGCGATCGACGCGATACTTGCTCACGATTTAGTAACAATGTAATAAGGATAAATTTTAAAAAGGAAGTGAAAATTTAAGAAAAGAGATTTTTAAAAGAGAATATAATATATATATATTAAAAAAAATAAGAGTAATAAAAGAAATATAATTGTAAATATTATTTATACAAGAATATTAAGAGGAGACAAAAAAAAAGCTATTTATATAAATATAAGATATATAATGATGATGGAGAAGTAAAGAGGATTGTTAGTAATTGAAATTGTAAGACAAAAAAAAAATGAGACCAAAGATCGCGTAGTTGGATGGACTAAACAAAAAGAAACGAGAAACGTCTAAAACAATAATTAACGTAAAACTCTGTAGGAATTACTACTACTACTACTAATACTGTCTTTTCTTAATTTGTTTGTTTCTTTTTACTTTCCCGTTTTTTTTTCTTTTCCATAGGGTGGTGAAAGTATTGAGATGTTCTCACGTTGCATATCTTCGATTTTTTAGACTACTTTCTTTTTATTTTTGTTACGTTTGTGAAGGAAAAGGGAGAAATGTAAGGAAAGTATATTAGTAATAGAACAAAAGAAAAAAACGAGGTTGAATGGTGTGCGAGGAAAATTGTTCCGTCATTTTGTCCTTCCTATAAACTATTCTAGACTATTACTTCTTTTTTTTACGTTTAGGTTTTGATGTTACAGAATATATTTAAGATGAATTATGAAATAAACTATATTATTTAAACGTTTAATTTCTGGATTATTTACCCATGTTTTTTCTTCAAAAAAATAAATATGATGAAACAATCACAAATCGTGTTTCTAATTGTTCTAATCATGTGCATTATTAATTATCAATTAACTAATTTCTTGTAAAAAGTAGATTTGATGAACGGAAAAAAAATCGAAGTTCGTTCTTGTTGCTGAATAATAAATGCGATCTGATTAAACAATGTACGTGGATAGAACACGTATACGATTATGCATATTTCATTAATTAAATAATAATTACGGTTAAAATTATGAGATTCCGACGGTCACTTGGTTTTTGTCTATCGGTGATTCGCGATGGACATTTACGACACCCTGATTCCGGTCTACGTGCTTTCAAAGATCTTGGGTCTGGCCCCATTCAAGTTGTCTTTGAAGGGAAACCGAGGTTTCGTCTCGGACGTCGGTCCAATCATCATAACGCGCATCCTGGTGCTTCTAAGCGTCATGATCTTCGTGGCTTGGGAGCTGGAGAATCTGGACTTTCCAGATAACATAGCAGGGATAGCGATGCGCGTCGAACTTTACTTGGGTACCGTGATGACCGGTATAGTGTTAATCTTGGCAGTGGTGAATAGAAGAGGTATTATAGGATCTGTTAACAATTTGATGGAGGTCGATCGTCTGTTAAAGGCTGCAGACATCGCCGTCTCCTACAAGAACGCGAAGACCTTTTGCGCAGCTCAGATCATCTTCATCACGTGCGTCTTTTCATCAAAGATCATCATCCAGCCCTTTTCAAGCAAAACCTCTTTGTTGTACATCTACAGCGTTTTCAATATAGTCGATTACATAAACACGATCATGCTGTTCCAGTACGTGGATCTGTTTCTGCTGATTAGACAACGATACATTTGGCTGAACAGATCCGTGCGCAATCTGGGAATGGAAATGAAGATACACTTTCTCAAATCGCAATGCCTGCCTCTGGACAGTCTAATCGTGCAGTACGGGATCATCCACAACGCCCTCTACCAAATTGGAAATAAAATAAATCGTTCTTACGGCGTTCAGCTCCTCGTCACGATCATCGTCAGGTTCATCATGGTCACAACTCAGCTGATTTACGCTTACAAGATCATACAAGATCCTGAACAAGGGGATCCCATCTCCTACACGCTTCTATTCATGTACTTGATGCTACACACCACAAAACTCTTTATGGTTGCCAGCATTTCCACGAACACATCAACAAAAGTAATTGTATTTCACTTATATTTACAATAACAAATTTTGTTTTTTTTGTATTTGACAACCACTGACAGGTGTACCAACTAACATTAACTAGTAACCAGTGACAATCTTAATTACCAACTTATATCTAATTTCTACAAAAAAATTCTTTTATTCAGGGTCAAGAAACCGGATTATACCTGCACAACCTTTGGGAAAGTTATGGCAGAAATCGCGAAGAGGTATTATATTTATGAAAAAATATAAACGATGCTTGAATTTTCCTTTCAGATCATGTTCTTCTCGTTGCAAGTGCTCCATCAAAAAGCCAACTACTCGGCTTGCGGTTTCTTCAATTTGGATTACCAACTGATCTCTTCGGTACATAGTAAAATCAACATCAACATCAATAAAGATAATTCAATTTGCAGATCGTCGGAGCCATCACTACTCACCTGATCATCATCATTCAATTCGACCACAACACAGTTCGAGTTACTCAGAACGGAACTTTATTTTAGATTATAATTAAAAAAAAAAAGCAAATGTGTCTGACTACTTTTTAATTAAATAAATAATTTAATTGCTTTGGAAATTGATCTTGGTAGAAAATTTGACTTTTTTTTTAATTATCAGCCGTTGGCAATAGAGGCTTTATTTATTTTGCCATAGCAACGGTAAGACAAAGAAATAACTAAAGTCTGATCATCCGTCAGATCGTTAATTTGAGTGTGAAATAGAAATTTTGAAGTTTTTCTGAGGAATTGAAATGAAAAATTGAGTGAAAACGGTAAGTTAATAACGTAGTTTGTTAAAACGTGGTCTTATAAATAATTTTGAAATTAAAATGAATGAAAATTGTAAAAAAAAATGACAGGAAAATAACGAAGAAGAATAGAAAAAAAAACAAAAGAAAGACAAACGACGTAAAGGATTTTCTTATTAATTTATTATTAAATGACTAATATTGAAATGACTATGACACTAAAATAATATCATCGCCTATAATCTACACTTGGTTTCTCATCCATCCATCGTAATCATCATCCTCGTGCTTCCACCAATCGTCAATCACAAATAAAACACAAAAGGAGGGACAAGTAAACAGACGAGAATTTAAAATAAAAAAAACAACATTGAACAGAAAAAAAAATACGTGTGTGGATAATAAAAAAAAAACAAACATTACAAAATAATCGTAAAAAAATTCAGTCGTAAATAAATTTTGCTCCCCCGGAAAAATTTCGCACCTAATATCAGAAGGAAATGAAAATAATGGTCCTAGACAATAATATATATATATATATCAAACAAAAGAAAAAAAAAATGGAATTTTCCAAGGGAATCGCGTTCGGAATTTTGTTTTTTTTTTGTCTTATTCTTCCTATAACATCATCATTACATTCTTTTTCGCCCAAGAATGTTCGATCGTTCGTGGCTTAAAACTTTGGTTCTCTCAAATATATATATATAAATGTATATATAATAATAATCTTATGTATTTACAAAATAATATTAATCGTAGAAATAATAATAATTAAACATCACATAAACACATTAAAGAAGCGTTAATTAATATCTCTGTTGATATTACGTTTTTTTTTTCCTTAATTACAAAACTTAGTACTTCCCTTCGAAGGGAAACGGGAAAAGAATCGAAACTATATAAAACAAAAGACGTGTCGTTTCACAATATACAAAAAGGCCCCAATTTACAAACTATTGGCTGTCTGATCTTCAACTACTTCCTCTTCCTCCTCCTTCATCATTTTTTTTTTAACTTTTTTTATACACAATAATATAATATTTATATAATATATCCATCATAAAATAACAAGGTTAATACTTATGACTTACTCTTACACTCTTTTTCCTGTTTTTTTTAGACTATATACGCTTAGAATTTAAGTTGTATTTATATTATTGTTATCGTTATAATTATTATTTTCCGTTTACATATTGTTAATGTTTGTTGCTGCTGCTGTGTTTATTATTGTTGTTGTTGTTGCTTAGTTTCCTATCACAAGTACATTCCCGATATTCGCAACTAAGTAGAAAAACAAAATCGTAAACAAACAAAGAAACAAAAGAAAAAAATGAGTGCTCCAAAGGCGGATTTGCGAGGGTGAAAGAGTGTGTGAGTGCGTGTTTAGTGGGACTTTCCTAGGTGTTAGTTACTACGGTCTTAAGTGTTTTTTCTTCTGTTTGGATCTGGAGGTATCGACTGGAATACCCAGCCCACACTGAAAAATCGGTGATTTCTAAAAAAAAAATACCAATTCAAATTTAAAAAAAAAACAACAATTACCAAAAATCGTGCAACTAAATTAAACGAGGCTTCGACGAACAATTGATTGAAAATTGAAGTAAACCTTTTGTGAATCTACCAACGGAAAGATACATAAGGAAGAGAACCCATCACCAAAGAAAAGAAAAAATAATTAAGTGGATTGAGAGAGAGTGTTAGATAGAGTAAGTAGTGGATATTTTTTTTTAAGTTAGTATAAGCAGCCTTAGGTGTATTGAGATTACTATTTACAGAGAGAAGGATTTCTTTTGAAACATTTTTTTTTGTCTGGATTTTTGTTTGTTTGACGGCTTTCGAGGAAATCTTAAATAAATAATACTTTTGTTTAAAGAATAGGTTGGGAAGAAACTTAAGAGCGAAACGCGGATCGCACAACAACAATTCTCCGGTCAGCATATTTCAAGAAAAGTTTGTTCGCGTGGCCGACGATCAAAACCGTCCCGAGTCCGCGATCACCGCGTCCCTCGGCACTAGTCCTTTCTGCGTGCCGCGGCAGCAGAGGAGCCACCGCTCATCAACCTCGAGGACGACCTTCAGCCTCTCCCCTTCGTTGTAGGAGAGGTGACCGCTTTCCGTGGGTAGACGATGCGAGAGGGTCCGCACAACTCTGCAAAACAACAAATAGATTAATTAGATTGCTAGTGGAGCTGGATAGAGTAGACTGTTTACTTTGGTGTCGGATGCCCGGCCAAAGGTTTCCTGTTGACCGAAGTGGACACTGCTCTTCTGGGAGGCGTTATCTTCCCGGCTTTTCCTCTCTCCGCGGCTGCAGGTTTGTACGGTAAACTGCTGGGTCTCGCCGGGTGGTGTTTCTGCGGAGAATCTTCCAACTGATCCAATCTGCTGGTGCGAGAGGGTGTCGTCTTCTTGGCAGGACTGCTCTTCGGCACAAACTTTGCAGGTTTGTTGCCAGGAGGCGTCACCGCCTTTTTCACTGGTGGAGCAATCTTCTTGGTGGGCGAAACTGCCACCGGGATGCCGGAAGGTCTGCTGCTCGGTGAAGACACCGGACGCGGAATCTTCGATTTATTGCCGTGAGTTGGACTATCCGGAGGCGATTGCTCTTTTCCGCTGAGCATTTCCCATTTGCGTTGCAGCTTCTTGAACTTCTTACCGTTCAACGGTTTCTCGTCTAGTGAGAAATTCGAGTCCAGCGATTCGGGCGCCTCTTCCATCTTGATCACATTTTCTAGCTGCTTAGGTGGAGATACCACCGTCGGTGGCGACGTTTCCAGGCTGTCAGTGTACTCTTCTTCGGAGTTCTCGTGCGCCAATCGGTTGTACGCAGTGAACAACTTCGAGGACATGTTAATACCGGACCATCTCTTCTTCAGCACAGTATTAACATCCTCGCCAATCTTGAATGCCGGTTTTGGATCGACACATGAGCGCGGTCTTTGCTTGCTCAGACGCACTGCAGGTTTCGGCGGAGACGTTGAAAGCAGATCGGGTAAAACATCTTCAACGGATTTGATTTTATGTGAAGGACTAGGTGGTTGTTGGTACGAGTCCATGCGTTTCAGACTCTCGTGCAGAAGACGGTACTCAAAGAGCAAATCGAATTGGAATGGGAAAAGCGCCAGAGGCTGCAGCGACGTGATAAGCGTGTCCAGAAGTGCTCTGGTCTCTGTTCCGCCCGTGTGCGATTGCACCAGAAGCGAATCCGGCGCGTAGTGCTTCCTCAAGATGCTCTCCCTCGTTCTCAAATAACTGAACCACGCGTCCAACGATCTCACATTCAAAAGACCGAAAACCAACGCGTTGAACTTCACCACACCTTCCGTAATCACGTCCTCGCTGTTGATGCGCATCACCAGCTCATTTAAGGCTTTGGTGAGTGGTCCTTGTTGCGCGGATGCTTCAATAACCTGCCAAACGGAATTACCGATTGCTCCGAACGACGTCTCCAGCGATGGCTTGAGACCATCGCTTAACACAGCGTATAGAGCTGGACATAGGGTGTTGAGAACGAGCTTCGCGCTGCGCGGATTCATTGTAGAATCGCATAGCACCTTCAGCTCCCCTTGGTCCGTAGCCGAAGAGAATCCCTGCACGATCTTCCCCACCGAATCGCAAACGTCGCTTATCAAACTGCACTTGGGATTCTTGGCTTTCCTCTGCGGACTGAACTCGCTCGATTCGGCTTCCTCACAAATCGGCATCTCCACCAACGTCTTACCCTGAGTAAACCTCTGGGTCAGCAATGCCGAGACGTTCGGAGAATTGTTCGGGGCAACGTTGTTCTTAACGTTCCCTGCGAAACTCACGCACTTTCTGTCTTGATTGATCTTCAGCGCGAGGAACTTGGACACGCACGAACGCAACTGCAACATGCTTTCATCGTTCATATCGTCGTGATCCGAAGACACGGCGCTCATCTTCAAGAACTCCTCCAGCTGGTTCAGCTCCTCTTTACTAAACAGAACAGATTCAACGCTCGAGGTCGATGCATCGAAGCCTTCATCCTCGGTCTCGCTCAACTTTTTGCGACGTAACTTGAAAGGCTCTTCCTCCTGTCTATCTTTTCGCAAGATTCCACGAGGAAGTGGAGGTCTTGGAGGAGCATCTAAACTTATGCTGCGCTTCGGTAGAGGTGGTGCTGAACTAGCCGCTGAACTGGTTGCAGAATCGTAGCGATACACGAAAAGCGGATTGAATTGCTGCTGTTGTTGTTGCTGCTGCTGTAACTGCTGCTGCTCTTCAGCTAAGAGCGATGAGGAGCCTCGGTAGCCGGAACTGGAGGAAACATCGTCTGAGAAATCGCTGCTCTTCTTGAAAGAGGGTTTGTCTTTGTTTTGACCGTAGCTTGCCACTTCGGGTACATCGGCCAGGATTTTCCTGCACTCATTGGGCAGCAGGAAATTCAGAGAATCCCAATCTTGTACATGACTGAAACCTTTCTTCTTGAGCGCCTCCACGTCGCTGCAGCTGAATGGGCGTTTGTTGGTGCGACTCAACGCCTTTGACGCCGAAACTTTTTGTGGAACGAAGACTACCTTATCAGTGGTTTCGTTGAGGAAATCCAGATTTGGGAGGACGTAGTTCGGATAACACACGTACACCGGCTTCTGAATTTCACCTTCCTTCTTTAACTTATTCAAGAAAGAAGGTGGCACTACCTTGATCTTGGATTCCTTGCATTCGGACGTTTGGATGCTCTTGTTCATGAGATGCATGGGGACGTGTTTGGATTTGGTGAAACTGGAGGCGGTCGAGCTGCTGGAGCTCAAACCGACGTTCCTGCTGTTCCTTGTGTTCGTGGACCTCGTCCGCATCACGCGTCTCTTCACCTCCAAATCGTGATTATTGTTGTTCAAGCTACCTTTGCTATCGTCGAGCTTCTGGTTCTGCGCGCTCGATTCTCCGCTCCAATCGGAGGACTGGTCGAGTCCTGTGGACATTCCCTCCGCGCTGATGCTCTTCTGCTTCATGAACAACTTGACTAGGTTGAAGTTTTGTGGATGCTGCTTCGAGGAGCTGGTGGTGTTTTGGTCGGCGGAAGTGGCCATATCCGAGACCAAACTTCCGCTTTCGCCGCTGGTGCTCTGATGTTGGATGTCGAACACTTTGACCGGTCTGCGTTTGATCGTCGTACAGCATTCCACCTAATCCGAACAAACATCGTGGTTTATCTACTATTTACTTAGCTCTCTGATAATAATACACTCACCGAACTATTGCTCAGCTGATTAGAGCGAGCCTGATAATTGTGGGCGACCAAACCGCGCAGCTTCTGCTTATACAAATTGGGCATGCTTCGACTCTTCGCGGCAGGATCCGCATCCAGGAAGCTGTTGGTAAGCTCATCGCCCGACTGGTTGTTGTTACCAGACGGCAGATGCCTGAGCTGCTGATCGCTGCAGCGCTTCTTCAGCTTGCTCCAAGTGGTAAAACTACTCGAATCCGACTGAGTCATCGACTCCTGCTGATTCAGCGCAGGTTGCATCTGCTCTTTGAGCATTTCAGGTCGCCAATGGGCGCTCCCGTCTCCACCAGAAGTCTCGCTTTTATCTTAAACATAAAGATTACATTTTACAGATGCAACGATTTAAATTAAATCAATATGTATACCTGCTTCATGGTAATCACTGTCTTCGGAATACATGGTGACGGAGCCTTCGAAGGCTATGGTGTAGTTATCCTTGTTCGCCTGACACGTAAGCATGATGTCGTGCTCGTTCAGGAGATCGCAGTCCAAAGAATCGACGCTGAAATTGGGCATCGGCAACATAGGCATGGACTCCTTGACCGGTGAGAAGAGCAGCTCCGATTTGCAGATGGACATCGACGTCGAGTCTTCCTCCCCTTGAGACGAACTGTGGGGACTGGAGCTGTCGAAGTCGAACTTTCCCAGCATCGAATTGGAGACGCTCGCGTAGCTCTCGCCTTCGCGATTGCTCTAAAATTTGAAAGAAAAAAACATTCACAATTATTGATGAAAACTATTTACAGAAAAAAAGGTAATTTTCTTACATCTTGGCTGGATTGATCCGAGCACATTGGTGGTAAATTAGTAAGTAACGCGTGGATGTCTTCCGTTCGAAAAGATTCGATATCAGCTTCCGCCAGGTTAGCGTCCAGATTCTTCGCTAGAGTATCGTAATATCCGATATCCGCAGCTTCGTAAGACTCAGGTAATGATAGTATACTAGTGTGGTGGTTATCCCTATACCTGCAATTAAAGCCAGACAATTAACCCCACTCTTGTTTGTGTTGAACCAATGAACGCTTACCCATAATCGAGGAACCACTGGTAATCAGAATTATCCTGTATGAAGTCTATATCTTGCGACGAGGTGTTGCTGAGGACGCTGGCCGATCTTGGATGATTGCTGTTGCAGTCGGAATCCGGAGTATGGACCAGCCCCCGACTGCTACCACCTCCACCTCCTCCACCACTTCCAACCCCCAGCCCCACCTCCGTCATGCCCCCCTTCGCTGTGAACAAAAGAAAAACACTATTAGCACTGAGCAATCATAAACATATTAATCTTCTGTTGACACACGTTAACGAAAATCCTCGTCGTCTACAACCGTGCCTTATCACCATCGTCCTATTTAAATTTCAAATTCTGGCATAGATGTCGAACCTCATGAATAACACACATTCGCAACTGCTAAATTCATTATACAACCCACATTTTCATCGAAACTTCTACTGTTTGATCTACGTTGACATCTTCGAAATTCATCGCAAAAGCATCAATTACAGTAACACATTTCCTTCAAACTCGCAACAGTATCAATGATTTCCATTTGCAATTTATTTATAATATGTACCCATACTAAATTCTTATCGATTTTCTAAATCAGTTATGTAAAAGCAAACATTAATTCAATGGAAATTTATCTACAACTGTCGTATCCATTATGCAACCCACATTGATTTCCTTTTATTAGTTCAATAATCGTTGTAATCTGCACGATTCAATTTAATTTTAATTAATGCCAAAAACATAAATTAGCAGCAACAGGATTTCCAATTAAAACTCTATTTATTTAAATTTCTTGAAATTATTTTCAATTGTTTAAATCATTATGCAACCCAAATTGTAAGATTTTTCATTTGTCTTTAAAATAAATAAGTTGTCAGTTTCAGCCGAAATTCCATCAATCGAAGTTTGCAGATAAAAGTGCAGTATTCAAGAAATAATTACAATTTCGATGCGAAATATACTTGCAGCAATTGTGTACATCGTTCGACCTACATTGGAATTCCAACGTGAGTCTTTTTTTTTTAAATAAATTTAAAAACATTAAATTTCGTTGAATAAGTTCAAAAAAATCACCTCAGATGTCGCCACTCATTTCAAACATTTTGCTGACTATGTCAAAATCTCGACTACCATAATCCCGACTATATCGAAATCCCGACAATCTAAAACTTAATAAGATTATTAATTGTTGTTATTTATCCTTAATAACAATAAATAATATTAATTATTATTGTATTTTTTTTTTCGTTGACTTATTCATTAACTTATGAAAAAGAAATATTCTATACTAAAATTAGTTTATGTTATTAACAATTAATAATCTTATTAAGTTTTAGATTGTCGGGATTTCGACATAGTTGGCATTTCGATATAGTCGGGATTTCGATAGACGGGATTTCGGATTGCCACCGAAATGAATATATGGATAATAATCAATATTTACTTTTAGTAAATCTCAAATTGTTCCTTTCTTATTCAATTATAAAATAATATTCTGTAATTTTCTATTGTTATTACAAAACTAAATACATTGGCATTCTTTTGTGTCCGAAAATAGAAAGTTAAAGATAAAATTATTAACAAAAAAAAACACAAACAGTGTCATAAAACATAATGACTTTCTGTTGTAAACATGTAGTAAACATTGATCATTTCAGGTATTTACCTTAAAAAATTAACTGAAATAATATATACTAATGATTATATAATTGAAAGATCACTGAAGGTCCATAATAATTATTATTATGACCTAAATCGACTCTTTTTTTTTTGTTTTTTTTATAAACATTTTCTAACTACGTTCGGTCAACGTCTCAAAATATAACGTTAAAACTAATTATGCGACTTAATTGCACAAAAAAAAACAATTTTAATTATTCCTATAAAGTAAACATTTTTAATTGCATGTGCACAAACAACCTAACGAGTCTCAATTAAAAATGAATGTAAATATAAACGACAGATACTGTGGAACCTCGCATAACGAGCAAAATGAGTCGCTTAACGAGCGACGTTTCGCATAACGAGTGACGATGAGAAGAGAAGTCCCGGATTGTGCGCCTTCTACATCATTTTATGTGTATTTTTGAATATGTTTCACTATACGAGTAAAAATCCGGAAATTTTAGAACAGAGTCAAGCGAGGTTCCACTGTATTCTTTTTGTACAAACATTTCGAAAATGTATATACAAAAAACACGTTAATGGCTAGTAATAAATGAAACTTCCAAATAAACTATTACTACCATTTAAAGCTCAATAAAATCACGATTTGTGACACCTTTTATAGTGATTAATAATTCACCAAATCGATTTCGAAAGACTTTCGTTTTCATTGATAAAACTTTCTTCCGACTTTCTTCGTTCCAAAAATGACCTATTCTTTGCTTCTTTTTTTTGTTTCTAACAACACAAAACTGTTTTCGTTTTGTCGCATTTCATTTGGTTAAATTTACTTTTCTATGTTGATTTAACAACTTGCAATTTAATATCTCCAAATGCATTAAGATTACGTTTATTGCGATTGAGATTGAAAAAGGAAACATACAAAAGTAAAAGGCAATCAAAAAGTCGTTTGTGATGATCAATTACCGTTGATTAACATCGTCAACTCAATAAACACGAAACTATTATTGTTATTCATATTCCTGCAATGTAAATTTGTAAGTGAAAAAACGGTTCGCAATGGCGTATGCAAATTGAATCTAAATCCACTTCCTACGTAGCAGATGAAGCCAACAAAAAAAAAGAGAAAAGAAGGATCGTTACATCACTTGATCTTGACTTCAAACATATATATATATACACACACAGAGACTCAGCAACTTCTGTTTTCGAAACTCCTCCCGACCCCGCAAACGGGATTAAAATATCGCGCGACTATCGGGGGGAGTCACGCGAATCCAGTCAAAATGCGTGTGTCTTAAGATGAAACTAAGTCGGTTTAAAATAGCTTCGTGAGTAAGCTTTCTTAATCCGAAACGCGTAGAATTAGCAAACGCATTAATAGTTCGTTTCCGTGCGTCCTAGAAATGTCAAGTTCGAAAACCGAAACTGCGTTTAAAACTTTTTTTTTATTTACTTTTGACCGAAATAGAGAATAGTTTTTGGTCTTTTCACCATTAAAAACCTCTTTTCTACAAACTCTATTGTTTTTCTTCAACGCGATAGTCGTAAAACTTGTTTTTTGTTTTTTTTTTTAAATAAGTATCATAAAATCATATCGTTACAATTTACAACGTTTTATATATTTATTTAAAAAAATATACATGATACTCAAAATGTAAATATTTCATGTAAAAACAAAGGTCATCAACATACATTCAATTATAACGTTTTCTTCACCAATAAAACAGAAACAAAGTAAATCTACTTACTTGAACCATAAACCTCTTTAGAAATCAAGAGGATGGAACATCATTAATAAGAATAATACAAACATTATGATTGTAGCAATTGTAGTTTTACTTGATGAATTCAGATGGATCACAAAATTAATACATTATCAATTTATCAGTATTTGTTGATATGATCACTCATAGCGTCAGCGTGGAAATTTGTAACATAGCGAAAATTATCTATGAGTTGTCTTTCGCGGTACTAAAAGTTCTTATCAGACTTATTTTCCACTTATTATCGCATTGTTTTCATCTTTAATTGCCTTTAACTAAAGATAATTCAGTATGTAAATATGGTTTTGACATGTGTCATGTTATGTCATGATGACAATAAGTGCAAGATGGCGTTTAAAACACACCACGTTCAAATACTCTTTAGAATCAGGAAATGTGGCGATTCGATTGAAATAAACGATCTACATTCAAATATGGAAATAATCCTAATTTATGTATTCTCATTATGTCCGATTTCTACGATTCGATAAATGTTCATTACAAGATCAGCTTTTTTTGTTGCGTGTATCGATTAATTATGTATATGAAACAACGTTAATTGACTTCGTAAACGTTGCTCCAGGACTTCCGTGAAATGTTGAACTATTCAAATATTATATAAGTTTAATTAAAATTTTCAACGAAAACTAATTCCATATTTATTTTCACATACTTAATTTTATCAGTAAATTTAAGGTGAAATTATACAATTTAAATGATAATATGAATCTTTAGTAAATTAATGCGTAATCTTTTAAACAAAATACGATCTGACAATGACAGTAATGACAATGTAGATGATTGATAATCGGTTCGATTAAACTTTGAACTTTTATCCTAGTCCACACGAACAAAACGTAATAATAAAAATAAATCACTTTCGTATCATTATCTACGATATCTAATTGAAAACAATTGGGACATTTAAAACTTAGTTTTTTATGGCTATTTGTCCAAATGTGCGAATTTACTCCGATTAATTTGTTGCGTCATCCGTAAACGTCAAAGTGACGGTTCGATTCATCACTGCCGTCAAATTACGTAGGTTATAAATTATATCAACATTGTCTGCTAATGCTCGAAGCCTTAAATGAACAAATTTCAATTACCCTAATGACTTCCTTTTTAAATTTTCAAATACTGTCAAGTGCTGTCAAACTTCAAACGTCAATTTTCTGACAATTTGATTAAGCAAATCACAAAAAATATTAACATTGTAAATGATATTTTATTGAAATTTCGATTGATTGACGTAACTTTATTATTAATTAGACAGTTTACGTTGCAAAGTGTTACATCAATTATCTGAATTGGATTATTAACCGAGTGGAACTACGTTTTTTTTTTCCGGTGTTTCCAATTGGAATCAATCATATTCGAACAGCGTCGATTATTCGAATCATCTGAATAATTCCCGGCTCGTGTCCGGCGGTAATCGATGTTGTTTATACATTCCATAGACGGACACTATTTATGACTCGATTATTCGAACCGTTGGGCAATTCGGATAAACGACTTTGCATTCAAAGGACCTTCGATAAAAGGATGGTACGCGCCTCTGGATCCGAGGGTTATAACATGTTCATTCCGATGGGAACAAAGCACGATGTTTTTCTCTTGTTGCATTATTTTTTCCTCCAACGAAATTAAGATGCAAATGAACTGGTTAATTCTATTTCATTTCCGTTTCGTTTCAATTTGCGTTTCGTACGCATCGCGTAATTAGCTCACCACAATTTAGAGTTTTCATCCAGTCGCAGCATTCCATTCGGATCACTCATTAAAGAAGCGAATTCAATCTAATAACGTGAACGAAACAACAAATTTTAAT